CAAGTATTTAGGTCAGTTCTAGGTTGAGGAACCAACAATACAATAGATACAAACAGTCAAGGAACAAACAAGGCAATATACAAAGTCCTGTGATCAATCTTGCTGTTTCTTTCTTTTTTCTTTTTCTTTTTTCTTTTTTCTGAGATAGGATTTCTCTGTATAGCCCAGGCTGTCCTGGAACTCACTCTGTAGACCAGGCTGACCTCGAACTCAGAAATCCGCCTGCCTCTGCCTCCCAAGTGCTGGGATTAAAGGCGTGCGCCACCACTGCCCAGCACTATTGCTGTTTCTAAGGGCTCATTGGGATGACAAAAATATCTAAGCCTACTTCCCTGTCCTAGCCCAAAGTAATATTCATGCCTGAGGCCTACTTCTTTGTTCTAGTCTAAGACTTAGATTTCTGACTGAAATTACTTCTCTGTTTTAGCCTAAAATTAGATTCCTGCCTGAACTTACTTCATTGTCCTTGGCCAATGTTGGATTCCTGCCAAGCAGCCCCAAAAGCTCTCCACAGAAAACCCAGCCAAACTGAATTATTAAGGATTAGCATTGAGGCCTAGCCTTGAGGGTCGTTTTTGCTTTTTTTCTCCCCATCCCCCCCCTCCTTTGTTTTCTCCATGGATAAGAATAAGTTACTTGGGATGCTGGAGAGACGGCTCAGCAGTTAAGAGAATTGGCTGTTTGTGCAAAGGACCTGGGTTCGATTCTCCTCACCCACATCAACTCACTGATCACAACTGTCTATAACTACAGTTCCCGGGATCTGACACCCTCACACAGACATATATGCAAGCATACCATAAAGATAAAAAAATCTTAAAAAAAAAAAAAAGAGTCAGGCAATGGTGGCGCACGCCTTTAATCCTAGCACTTGGGGGGCAGAGGCAGGCAGATTTCTGAGTTTGAAGCCAGCCTGGTCTACAGAGTGAGTTCCAGGACAGCCAGGGCTATACAGAGAAACCCTGTCTCGAAAAGAAAAGAGAGAGAGAGAGAGAGAGAGAGAGAGAGAGAGAGAATAAGTTACTTGGAGGGAGAAAAAAAAATCACATTTCTTCCACAAAACATGTGAGCTTGGAGTATTTGGTTTTTGTTTTTGTTTTTTTTTCCCAGTTAGTGAAAACACATTTTAGATTTCCCTAAGAGAAGAAAACAGTTCCTTACTAGTCAGTGCATCCTGTCTGCCTATCAGCCTGAAGTCCTTTCCTGTTAGTCACAAAAGCCACGCTGACTGAGTCTACCAAAACCCAGTCCTCAAACTGCAGCTCTGCCGCCCAGTTCAGTATGAACTCAGCAAACAAGGAATGGTTGTTTCCAACCAGACAAAAGCCACTCCTCTTGATTTCAATTACAATTGAGTGAGATTAGCAAGGCGCAGATTCCAGACTCAGAATACATTTACTTGGGTTTATTCAGAACATAGTAAGAAGGACGTGCTGGAAAAATTGGTGGTTTTTGAATCTGAAAGATTAGCAGGCTAAATAAGGGATGAGAGTCGAGAAGGGGAGAGCACCCCAGATATATAGAGTGACCCCACTGTAAGCACAGAAGCATGTGTGCATCTCCCAGGCACTTTTCTAGACACAGAGGTTCCAAATCACTTTACCCTAAGTGCCTTAGTGGGTCCCCAGGCACAGGGTGCTGCTCAGCCACTCATCAGAGGCTTTCCAGAAACATCTATCATCAAGTCAGGTGCCTTTAATTCCAGCACTCCAGAGGCTGAGGCAGAGGGATCTCTGAGTTCGAGGTCAGCGTGCTCTACAAGAGTGAGTTTCAAGACAGCCAAGGCTACACAGAGAAACTCTGTCTTGAAAAAAACAAACAAGCAAGTGAGCAAACAAACAGAGAAACCATGCTATCCAAACTCCACTGCTGTCTTCCAAACCATTCTCCTTACTGCATCTTCGAGAAAGATCTATTTTCTGTACTGGCTGATTTTTTGTGTCAACTTGACACAAGCTGGAGTTATCACAGAGAAAGGAGCCTCCCTTGAGGAAAGGCCTCCATGAGATCCAGCTGTAAGGCATTTTCTCAATTAGTGATCAAGGGTGGAAGGGCCCATTGTGAGTGGTCCTACCATCCCTGGGCTGGTAGTCCTGGGTTCTATAAGAAAGCAAGCTAAGCAAGTCAGGGGAAGCAAGCCAGAAAGTAACATCCCTCCATGACCTCTGCATCAGCTCCAGCTTCCTGATCTGCTTGAGTTCCAGTCCTGACTTCCTTTGGTGATGAACAGCAATGTGGAAGTGTAAGCTGAATAAACCCTTTCCTCCCCAACTTGCTTCTTGGTCATGGTGTTTGTGCAGGAATAGAAACCCTGACTAAGACTTTTTTTTCTCTCCTCCCCCATCTCTCTTTTTTTTACTCAGCAAATATTACTAAGTTGTCAGACACGGTGCTCAGCACAGAGAAGTTAGAGACGTACCTCCTACTCCGAAGATCTAGTTCACAAACGTGGGGGAATAGAGAAAAGATTGAGAACACTAAACACTGTATCATATTTGTATAATATTTGCATTTGTTCATATTGACCTCTTACCTTCAAATACCAGTACTGTGGGGGCAGGTGTGGGCACAGTCCTGTAATTCTAGCATTTCTGAGATAGAGGCAAGGTCTAGCAATCCTCCTGCCTCAGCATCCAAATAATTGGGACTGAATATAGGTACCCACCACCATATCTGGAGTGAGCTCATTGTCTGTGTCTGGCTTCCTGGCTATGGTG